ACACCAACGAACCATGAATATTACATCTCGTTTCGTGTATACCTTTATCAAAGTGGGTGTCGTTGAAATACCTACATAATGTTAAGCCAGTTTGGTGTGGTGGTTAAGTGCGCGGACTCTGATCTGGGAGAACTGGTTTTGGTTCCCCACTCCTCCACTCACAGCTGCTGGATGACCTTGGGCAAGCCATAGTTCTGTCAGAGCTGTCCTTGAAAAAGAGCAGTTTCTGTCAGAGCTCTCTCAGCCCCACCAGGGTGTCTGTTGTGGGGAGGGGAAGGGAAAGGAGTTTGTAAGCCGCTCTGAGATGCCGAGTGAAGGGCGGGGTATAAATCCAATCTCATATTCTCCTCTCCCTCCTCCTCCATTTGGCAAACACTCTAGTCATATCTCATAGTCACATTCATCAAATCCATTTGTTGTTGTTCAGTCGCACAGTCGAGTCCGACTCTTTGCGACCCCATGGACCAGATCACGCCAGGCCTTCCTGTCTTCCGCCGTCCTCTGAAGTTGGCTCAATTTCATGTTCGCTGCATCTATGAGACTGTCCAACCATCTCATCCTTTGCCGTCCCCGTCTTCTTTGACCTTCAGTCTTTCCCAGCATCAGGGTCTTTTCCAGTGAGTGCTCCTTTCTCATTTGGTGGCCAAAGTATTTGAGCTTCAGTTTCATTATCTGGCCTTCCAGGGAACAGTCAGGGTTAGGGACAGGGTCAAATCCATTAGTGTGATTTGATTCATTTGATTCGCACTAATGGACTTGATGAATGTGACTATGAGATATGACTAGAGTGTTTGCCAAATTGATTAATATTATATAGGTATTTCAATGCTTTGTTGTTGTTCAGTCGCACCATTGAGTCCGACTCTTCGTGACCCCATGGACCAGATCACGCCAGGCCTTCCGGTCTTCCGCCGTCCTCTGAAGTTGGCTCAACTTCACGTTCGTTGCATCTATGACACTGTCTAACCATTTCAACGCTACCCACTTTGATAAAGGTATACACGAAACGAGATGTAATATGCATGGTTCGTTGGTGTCAATGGCCTCTGAATTGCTTCCAGTAAACTGAATACTGAAAAAAGAATGTACAAGTTGGTGAAGAACCTTTTTTGGGGGCGCTATACATCATGGTGGTTTGCTTCCTTTCAACTTCCATGTAGGGCCTGGAGATATCTCGGAATTACAACTGAGCTCCGGATGACAAAGATCGAGTCTCCCGCACAAGACCTTGCTGAGGTCCCTCCCCAACCCCCCCCCCCAAAAAAAACATCCAGGAATCTCCCAAATCAGAGTTGGAAAACACTACCCCTCAAGCAGGGTAGGGAAAAACATTGAACATTTCCAGGCACCGGCATCAAAGTGGTGTGTAGAAAAAGGAGCCTCTTGTGTTCAGCTCCTATCATATGAAAAGTGTGTGAGAACTTAGCACGTGAAGCTGCTTTCTACTGAATCAGACTACTCAGAGCGGCGGCAGCTCCCCAGGAACTCAGGTAGAGGTCTTTTCACATCACCTATCGCCAAATCCTTTAACTGGCAATGCCGGGGATTGAACCTGGGACCTTCTGGGACCTTCTGTATGCCAGGCAGATGCTTGACCACAGCCCTTCACAATCTTGTGGAAAGTTCCCCTGCACAAGCCCCTTTGCAATGCAGGTGAAATGTGCAAGAGCCATTGAGCAGGATCCTGCTTCCTTGGACAACTCACCTTCTCCCATGGCAAAGCTCTTTGACTTATCCTCACCAGCGTGGAAAAGGACCAGAGGTCATTTCGGGGGGGACCTCAGGGGATGGCAGTCCCCCCGGGTGAGGTATGGGGGGCGGGGCACATGACGAAGCCCCGCCCCCTGCTTCCGGCCGCCCCGCTTCCGGCCCTCATTCAGCTAGGAGGAGGCAGGAGAAGAGGGAGGGTACGTTCCTTCCTCCCTGCCTCTCCCCACCCCTGCCTGCCTGGGGCCAGGGAGGGACTTCCTTCGAGGGGCTTCCTCACACTCCCGCCAGCCTTGCAGGTCCACCGTTGGGCCCCTCATGGGGCTCGGCAGTGGAGCTGCAAGGCCGGTGGCGGCGGCCGGGACCGTTGGGGGCGGGGTGTGTGGCCTTATGACACACTTCCGGTGATGTCAGGGGGTGTAGCATATGCTAATGAGTTATGCTAATGAGTTCCCCTAGCTCTTTTTCTACGAAACGACCCCTGAAAAGGACAGAGCTTTCTTGGGTGTTCAGGGTCTGACGGGCTGTCACACTCGGAAGTCAGGAAGTTAGTTCTCCAGACCACTCCGAACAGAGTTGCACCAACACTTGTGAACAGTCACGAAGCTGCCAGTTTGGTGTCGTGGTTAAGGGGGCGGACTCTAATCTGGGAGATCCGGGTTTGATTCCCCCACTCCTCCACTTGCACCTGCTGGATGACCTTGGGCAAGCCATAGTTCTGTCAGAGCTGTTCTTGAAAAAGAGCCGTTTCTGTCAAGAGCTCCCTCAGCCCCGCCTACTCATAGGGTGTCTGTTGTGGGGAGGGGAAGGGAAAGGGGTTTGTAAGCTGCTCTGAGACTCCCTTGGGTCGTGAAGGGCAGGGTATGAATCCAGCCTCCTCCTCCTTTCTGTAAATGATATGACTATATAGAGCCAGTTTGGTGTAGTGGTTAGGAGCACGGACTCTAATCTGGGAGAACCGGGTTTGAGTCCCCACTCCTCCACTCACAGCTGGTGGATGACCTCGGGCAAGCTGTAGTTCTGATAAGAGCTGTCCTTGAAAAAGAGCAGTTTCTGTCAGAGCTCTCTCCACCCCGCCTACCTCACAGGGTGTCTGTTGTGGGGAGGGGAAGGGAAAGGGGTTTGTAAGCTGCTCTGAGACGCCTTTGGGTAGTAAAGGGCCATGGGGTATAAATCCAGTTTCTCTTCTTGTACTGACTCAGACCCTTCGTCCACCAAGGCCAGTCTTGTCTACCCTGACTGACGGCAGCTTCCTAATTGTCTCCAGCAGCAACTGGAGATGCTGGGGATGGAACCTGGGACCTTCTGCATGCTAAGCACAGGCTCTGCCACTGAGCCACGGCCCCACCCCGACTCACGTGGTCTGCCCGTATGCCTTTGCAAAGCTCAGCCTAGCAGCTTCCCTGGCTGGTACAACTGATGACTTCCCCCAAAGAGTCTCCAAATACAACTATGGGCCACTTCTTACAAAGCACTTTGTATCCAGAATACCACCTTCTTTGGGGGTCTGGTACCCAGTCAGACAACCTCACTAGTCCCGGACAGCTCTGTTTAGTGGGTGATGCTGAAAAATACGCAGGTGTTTGTGATACTTCATTGCAGGGAATTGCCCATTTTGACATAAGTAAAGGTAAAGGTTTCCCTTGCTTGAAAGCCAGTCGAATCCGACTCTAGGGATGTGGTAAGGTAAAGGTAAAGGTTCCCTTGATCGAAAGCCAGTCTAATCCGACTCTAGGGTTGCGGTGCTCATCTCCGTTTCAAAGCCGAAGAGCCAGCGCTGTCTGAAGACGTTTCCGTGGTCATGTGGCCGGCATGACTAAACACCAAGGCGCACGGAACGCCATTACCTTCCCACTGAAGTGGTCCCTATTTATTTACTTGCAATTTCTTGCTTTCGAACTGCTAAGTTGGCAGGAGCTGAAACTAGAGACGGGAGCTCACTCCGTCATGCGGCACACTCGGGTCTCGAACTGCTGAACTACCGACCTTCCACAGCCTGCAGTTCAGCGTCTTAAAGTCGAGGCACATGGAACGCTGTCACCTTCCCACTGAAGCAGTCCCTATTTATCTACTTGCAATTTCTTGCTTCCGAACTGCTAGTTTGGCAGGAGCTGGGACCAGAGACGGGAGCTCACTCCGTCTTGCGGCACACTCGGGTCTCGAACTGCCGAACTACCGACCTTCCAGCCTGCAGTTCAGCGTCTCAACCAGTGGCTTCTAAATTTTAGGCGGGGGTCCCAATCACCAGACCCCCCCCCTCAAGAGTCGTGTCCGCCACTTCTCCTGAACTCCCAGTGTTCTCTCCTGACTACTCATTTTCATGCAAAGATGCCTCCAGCTTGTGGCATTCCTTTTGAAGGCGGGGGGCCAAGCGTCTGAACCCAATCCGGTGGGTCTTTCTCAAAAGCTCCTGGAGACTTGGCCGGTGCCCTGTGGGGTGGGCAGGGTGGGGTGGGGCGAGAAACAGTCAGTTATATTTACAATATACAGTCATATATTCCATAGCAACACAGGTCAATACTAGCAAGTTAAAACGGTGAAAATGGCACCCCTTGGAGGTTTCGTTTTACAAAGCGAGAGAGAGAAAGAGACTCCCCAGGGAAGGCTCGCGAATGGGAGGAGTAGCCGGCAGTGCAAATGTGGGGGGCAGGGGGGGGGGTAGACAGGTGCGGCTTCTCAACATGTCTTTTAGAGCTCAAAACGTCGAACCGAATTCACCCGCAGCGAAGCGTGCGAGACCCTGAGTCCGTTTCTGGAGACCCTAGAGATGTCCGAAATGTCGCGGAGACGACAATCCTGCCTGGATCCAACCAGTGGCTCCGGGGCGGGTCTAGTGGCCGTCTTCCTGGAGACCAAGCCGCCTCCCACCCACCCACATGGGCACCACCAGGAGAAGCGGCCAGCATTAGCCCACTGGGCCTCCTCTGTCCAGATGTGGCTCCGTTTTGTCCCCGGAGTCCCAGGAAAAAAAAAAGCCCACGGTCCATTCGGGGGAGCACTGGCAGTTAAAACGAATGGGACGTTTAAAAATACATATCTACATGGCCGACGGAAGGGGACGGTGTGGGCGCTGGGATTCATGCGGATGCCGGTGCCTCTCGTCTGTGGCGTTTGTTTTACCGTGGTTCGGCAGCAACCGGGCCCCAAAAGGCTGTGGCCCTGGAGGCGCGGCGTTCCCACCGCCTGATGGGACAGGGAGAGTGTGCGGAGGTGTGGATGCCTGTGCGGGGAGAGTGGATGAGGGAGAAACCCCGTCGGGCCGTCCGGGGCCCTGACTGTGAGCGCCAGCCAGTCTAGAGGGAGCAGGCCGCGTCGCCGCCGTTGTCGTCATCCACGGACCGTTTCTTCAGCTCCTTGCCCGGCTTGTGGTGCTGGTGCTGGTGGTGGGGGTGGGCGCCGTTCAGTTTGCTGTGGTCAGAGAGCTGCCCCCCCATCCCCTGGGTATCCTGCAGGTGCCCGGCGGGGAAGCTGTGGCGGCGGGGCTCGCTGACGTCTTCGGGCGGCTCTACCCGCAGGTAGGCCTTCACCTTGTGGTGCCGGGCTTTGCCGTCGCTGAAGTCGATGACCCGGCACTCGTAGGTCCCCTCGTCCGTCGTCTTGACCCGGGAGAGCCGCAGCTTGTGGGAGATGTTGCTGCCGACCACTTTCACCACCTGCCGGGGAAGAAGGGGAGAGCTGAGCGAGGGGGGATTTCACGCCGCAAGTCACCTCCACGGGAACGCTCCTCTGACACAGCCCGGACTCCAGCGCCAGACGCGCAAGAGCACTGGAGTTGCCAACCTCCGGGCGGGGCCCAGAGAGCTCTCCCACTTTTACAACTGATCTCCGGACTACAACGATCGGTTCTCCTGGAGAAAGTGGTGGCCTTGGGAGCCATGCCCCCCTCTAAACTGTAGAGTCTCACGAGCAAAAAATTCTACTTTCTGAGCTTCTGGCATGGGAATTGTGAGTGAGCGAATTGGCTCCCGCATACGTTGGTTTGCCTTGGAGCCATCCCTTCCTGAGCTAAGTCAAAAACCTGTGAGCTGGAGGCCAATGTTCCCTCTAAGCTGTGGGGTCTTGTGAGCAACAATTCTACTTTGTGAGCTACCGGCATTAAAGTTGTGAGTGAGCGATTGGGCTGCTGCATAACTTAATTTGCTCTGGAGCCCTCCTTCCTGAGCGAAGACAAAAATGTGTGAGCTGGAGGCTAAAGAACTGTGAGCGAGCTCACACTCACTCAGCTTAGAGGGAATACTGCTGGAGGCTAAAAAGCTGTGAGCTGGCTCACACTCTCAGCTTAGAGGGAACACTGCTTGGAAGGTGGGCTCTGTATAAAGTTGCCAACCTCCAGGGGGTCGCTGGAGATCTCCCTCTCTTACAGCTGCTCTCCAGGCAACAGAGAGAAGAAAATGGCAGCTGCAGATGGTGGCGTCTGTGTCCTTAGACCCAGCTGGAGTCCCTCCCCTCCCCAAACCCCGCCATCCCCCGGCTCCACCCCTAAAATCTCCAGGTATGTCCCAACCTAGACCAAGCAACCCCAACTCTATGGCGTTAAACTTGTTGAGATCCCTCCTCTCCCCAAACCCCGCCCCCTCCAGACCACGCCCCACAAATCTCCTGGCATTGCCCCGCCCTGAACTGGCCACCCTGTGACCATGGAGGAGTCTGACAAGAGCAACAGGCCACAAGCACCGTGTCTTGTGGGGACAATGCTCCCCCTAAGCTGTGGAGCCCTGTGAGCAGGAATTCTACTTTGTGGGCTCCTGGCATTAAAGCTGTGAGCCAGCGATTTGGCTACTGCGAAGAAGAAGAGGAGGAGGAGGAGATTGGATTTATACCCGGCCCTTCACTCGGAGTCTCCAACCGGCTTACAAACTCCTTTCCCTTCCCCCTCCCCACAACAGACACCCTGTGAGCAATGCTCCCTCTAAGCTGGGGAGACTTGTGAGCAAAAATTCTACTTCGTGAGCTACTGGCATTAAAGCTGTGAGCCAGCGATTTGGCTACTGCGAAGAAGAAGTGGAGGAGGAGGAGATTGGATTTATACGCTGCCCTTCACTTGGAGTCTCAGAGCGACTTACAAACTCCTTTCCCTTCCCCTCCCCACAACAGACACCCTGTGAGCAATGCTCCCTCTAAGCTGGGGAGACCTGTGAGCAAAAATTCTACTTTGTGAGCTACTGGCATTAAAGCTGTGAGCCAGCAATTTGGCTACGAAGAAGAAGAAGAAGAAGAAGAAGAAGAAGAAGAAGAAGAAGAAGAAGAAGAAGAAGAAGAAGAAGAAGTAGTAGTAGTAGTAGTAGTAGTAGTAGTAGTAGTAGTAGTAGTAGTAGTAGTAGTAGTAGTAGTAGTAGTAGTAGTAGTAGTAGTAGTAGTAGTAGTAGTAGTAGTAGTAGTAGTAGTAGTAGTAGTAGTAGTAGTAGTAGTAGTAGTAGTAGTAGTAGTAGTAGTAGTAGTAGTGCTCTGACAGGACTATGGCTTGCCCAAGGTCATCCAGCAGCTGTGAGTGGAAGAGTGGGGAATCAAACCCGGTTCTCCCAGATTAGAGTCTGCGCACTTAACCACTACACCAAACTGGTGTAGTTTGTTCAGGTGCTCTCCTTCCTGAACTAAGGCAAAAATGTATGAGCTGGAGGCTAAGAAACTGTGAGCTAGCTCACACTAACTCAGCTGAGAGGGAACACTGGTTGGGGACCCCTGGTCTAACCAAAGAAGATACTGGGTAAGGTTGCCAAGTCTGGCTCGGCAGTTTCACAGAGGTTTTTTTTTTGGGGGGGGGTGCTTTGGAAAATCAGAGGGTTTTTGTGGGGAGTTCCTAGGGTTGCCAGCCTCCTGGTGGGGCCTGGAGATCTTCCACTTTTACAACTGATCTCCAGCTGACAGAGATCGGCTCCCCTGGAGAAAACGGCTGCTTTGGAGGGGGGACTCTGTGGCATTGTACCATGCTGAGGCCCCTCCCCAAACCCCGCCCTCTCCCCGGTCCCCCCCCCAAGTCTCCAGGTATTTTCCAACCCAGACCTGGCAACCTTAGAAATGCCACAGTGGATGTAACCAATGTTGCCTCTAAGCTGTGGAGTCTCGTGAGCAAAAATCCTACTTTGTGAGCTATTGGCACTAAAGTTGTGAGCGAGCCATTTGGCTCCTGCATAAATGAGTTTGCTCCGGAGCCCTCCTTCCTAAGGCAAAAATGTGTGAGCCGGAGGCTAAAAAACTGTGAGCTGGCTCACCCTAACTCAGCTTAGAGGGAGCACTGGGTGTGACGCCGCGGAGTCCAGCCTCTGACTCCGGCATTTCCTCCAGCTGTAATCTGGTTATATGCTCTGTAATACAGCTCACTTCTCCGTAAGACCTGAGGAAAGTCGCACCAGAACCAACAGGTTGAAATTAAATCAAAGGAGTTTTCGGTTTAACATTAGGAAGAACTTCCAGACAGTTAGAACAGTTCATCAGTGGAACAGGCTTCCTCGGGAGGTGGTGGACTCTCCTCCTTGGGAGGTTTTCAAGCAGAGGCTCGATGGCCATCTGACAGCAATGCGGATTCTGTGAACTCAGGCAGATCAGGAGAGGGAGGGCAGGAAGGGTCACCTCAGTGCTTAGTTCTAGTGGCCTTTTCTTACATGCCCAGGGAAATTGCTGATCGCCACTTTGGGGTCAGGAAGCCATTTTTCTCCAGGCCAGTTTGGTTGGAGATCCTGGAAGCTTTTTGTCATCTTCTGGGCATGGAACAGGGGTCACTGGGGGTGTGGGGGGGAAAGGTATTTGCAGGGCTTTTTTTGTAGAAAAAGCCCAGCAGGAACTCATTAGCATAATAGGCCACACCTAACAGCTGAAACCCATTAGCACATTAGGCCGCACCCCCATGTTACCAGAAGTGTGGTCATCCAGCCACACCCACCTTTTGCTTCTTATTCTGTTTACCTTGTTTGTTGTCCAAACCCAGGGCCTTTTTTTGTAACAGGAACGCCTTTGCATGTTAGGCCACACACCCCTAATGTAGCCAGTCCTAATGCGTTTCTGCTGTTGGGCGTGGCCTGTTATGCTAATGAGTTCCTGCTGGGCGTGGCCAACTCAGGAGCCAGCCGGAACTCCGTTCCTGTGCGTTCCACCCCCAAAATAGCCCTGGGTATTTGTGAATTTCCTGCATTGTGCAGGGGGTTGGACTAGATGACCCTGGAGGTCCCTTCCAACTCTCTGATCCTGTGATTCTATGAATTTCGCCTTGCCTGTCTTGTGCCCATCTGGATCCCGCATTCTCTGAAACCTCCCTACAGATCTACACAGAAATGCAAGGCATGTTGACTTCCTAACACAGGCCTGTGACCTCACCCCACCTTGACAGGAGAGCTCCGGGGAGGAGAAAGTCAGCCCCTGCCAGTATCCTCCCTTCTCCAGTTCCCCCTAAATGGATGGTTTTGAGCCCTGCGGATCCCATTAAGGGGCCCTTCAGCCCACAGGCCCCTCAATCACGGGAAGATTAAATCCCGGCCCTTCTCCAACGCAATGTTTTCCAAGATCGATGCGGAATCACACAAGCTAATTAGCTTTCCTACCAAATTGATTCGCTCTCAGTATTTATCACCTAATGAAATTTAAGACTTACTCACTAGCCGGGGCAGCGGCTGCTCTTATTGGGCTCGGTCAATAAATCAGCTTTATTACCCTACCTCGAGGCCTCTGGCTCTGTTCCCTATAATCACGCTGGATGTTAAAGGCCATTTTTCTCCTTTGCCTCCGCCACCTTTGTTAGCTCGAGATTTTATGGTGTTTAGGTAATGGGTTAGGGTCACACACAAAACTGCCCGCTTTCTGAGAGAGCTGCGTGACGGCTGTGGCGGATCCGAGCATCCGGGCAGATTTACGAGAGCGCCACTTGGAAATGGCCTTTGCTGCAGTCTTAGCTTTTAAGAAGAGAGGGAGCCGTCCAGAGAGCAGACTGCCACCCGCAGGAATGGAGCTCTCTGGGTGCTCCCAAAACCAGCAGAGGAAACGGCAGTCTACTAGAATCTGTACCTGACCCGAGCCACCTTCAGGGAGCCCAGGGGTCATTTCCTGCAAGAGCGCACAGGAGCGGAGCTCCGGCAGTAAAGAACCCAGGGGGCGGGCACATGCAACAAGCCCCGCCCCCTGCTCCCAGCAGCTCTCAGTCAGAGCAAGAAGCATAACTTATTTGCATATGCCACACCCCCTGACATCACCAGAACTCACTAATGAGTTATCCTAATGAGCTCCTGCACCTCTTTTTCTATGAAATGACCCCTGAGGGAACCCCCCCCCCCTTTCAGGGGGACAGAAGATCCTTCGATTACATAAGCCACACTGACTAGAAGCAACATCACTTATTTTGGTACTAGATAAAGGTAAAGGGTTCCCTTGCTCGAAAGCCAGTCAAATCTGACTCTAGAGATGTGCGCATCTCCGTTTCCAAGCCGAAGAGCCAGCACTGTCCAAAGACTTCTCCGTGGTCATGTGGCCAGCATGACTAGACGCTGGGACGCACGTGGAGATGGTAGTTCCGCTCTATTCTGCTATGGCCAGGCCTCACCTGGAGTCCTGTGTCCAGTTTGGGGCACCACATTTGAGGAAGGATGTTGACAAGCTCGAGCGTGTCCAGAAGAGGGCAACCAGGATGGTGAGAGGGTTGGAATCCAAGACTTACGAGGAAAGGCTGAAA